AAGTTAATGGGACACCATGTATATACATTTCTAATTATCGATTTTCCAAGGCAATAAATTCGTCAAATTAGTATTTATTTTATTGGCTAGACTTATTCGCTATCTAACATTCTCAACTATTAGTTTTCCGATATCACGAAAATCGTTTGCTTATTACTTATATCTTTTATAATTACAATATTATATTCTTCAATATTACATTTTAATTGCAACTTTCAGTATTACATTCTTTAGAAAAGGACTTCAAACAATTTTGAGAAAGGATTAGAGAAGGATTAAGATTTGCAGCACATGAAAAAACAGACATTCTTTATTGAGCCATTATAGTTGTCAAATTCAACTTTGACTTTAACTGTGTATAAATATTTACGGTACACTTGCATTATATTTACCAATTTTTTGTTTTGTAGATTTGTGAAAATATATCGATTGATTTTATGGAAATTTTATTTAGTACGGACTCATAAAAATATTTTGCTAGTCAATTCATAAGTAATTGATAAAATTTCGAAATTAGTTTTATATAAATAAAATTAAAAAATAAATGTAAAAATAACAAATTGTTATAAATTTAAATAGTGAATAGATTTTTTATTAAACTTAAATAAATATCGTTTCCCGTTTTCATTTAAATTTACACATAAAAAGTTATAAATACGCGATTACTTATGGAATGACTGATATACTATAGAAATTGAAAAATTGGCTCGTATATAGTTTTCTTATACAGAGTAAGTCAAAACAACCTTTTATTATTAAAACTACATAATCTTAACTAAATTTGGAGACAACTTTTTATGTTGTAAAACTCTGCCCGGAGCTTATTTTTTAAGTATTTAATAGAAATAGCTTATCAAGACTCGAGTCAGGAAGTGAACAGGGGCGACGCAATTCACCGCCAGACATGGGCGCTTGCGTAGGATACCTACTGCGATCAATTGATCGTTATACACAAATTTACTGCCAATATTCACTGCTAGCATGGAAAATCAATGATTGATGTTACGTCTATTATAGTTTTCCAAAATTGGCAATAACTTGGGAAAACAGTGACAGTAGTACGCGCACATACATGTACACATTCTCTCTCTCTCTCTCTCTCTCTCTCTCTCTCTCTCTCTCTCTCTCTCTCTCTTTTTCACTTATTTGCTCACATTCCCTTACACACTCGAAATATACAACTTTTACCAATACATACGTATATCACAATGGGCCCTCTCAGAAATACGACCACTAACTGAGCGTTCAGTGAACTCTTGAACTCTTGAATCTAATATGTTTGATATATTTTCTTAGATATAAAAATATATATAAATTAGATGAAAGAACTCACTTGCGCTCAGTGAACAGTCATGTGCTTTTGAATACGCCTAATGAATACTGACTACATTTACACGGCAACGTTAATGTGGTTTAGTAACAACCGTAGTTAGTAAACTTTTGCATTTGACTGGAATATTCTTTCTAGCAATAGTATATCCAGCAACAGTATCCTTTTTGAGTGTAGAAAAGTGTTAAGATGCGCACCTATATAGGCTCCCGAGAATTTTCAGAACCTTAGAGACATTAACCAATTAGACGTTCACATCATTAGTTTAGCACTAGTATCGAATGTATGGAATCGGTCTCCTAAAGTGCATTCGGGAAGACATTTGGTCTGTTCTTTACAGCTGCAATGCTGAACTAGTGCAATAAGTTCAAATGAAACAAATATATGTTCTCTCATTTTAACTTGCACCAGGTTAGAATTGTAGCTATAAAGAATAGACCAATTGACTACGTTTACACGACAACGTTAAACCGGTTTAGTAATATCCGTAGTTAGTGAACTTTTGCATCCGATTAGTATATTCTTTCAGGTTTGAAAATATACTCTAATTAGGAGCAAGATTTTACTAACTACGTTTATTACTAAATGAGATTAACATAGCCTAAAGTCTTAGATAATAGAGAAGCGACATTGCGGGAAACCGTCTGATTAGTTAAATCATTTGATTCAGCACCATATTGTTTCCACCTGTGGATGAATTATTGTTACAGCTTGTCAATTAACTTTTCTGCCAATTTCAACATATGGTCATGAGCTCAAGCTATGCTTCTCATGTAATTTTGTACTAATCTGCTTTCTTTTTTATAATCCATAAGCTATCTTCCGAAAGCAGCTAACCTGCTTTGACGTCTCCTATGGTTTATTCTTTTTAGCTGCACGTTGAAACAAATATTTTTTGTCTCGCTCTAACTTATTGCATCAGTTTATCAGTGCAGCTAAAAAGAACAAATTTATACTGTCATATGCGAAGAAACAAGATAGTGGCCTTCCGATATATCGCACTTATCGATCATACCTGTCGCTTCTCTTTTATCTATTATACATGAGGTCTGTTCGTTTTCGCTGCACCGCTGAACTAGTGCAATAAGTTGAAGTGAGAAAACATATACTTGTCTCGCTTCAACTTATTGCATTAGTTCAGCAGTGCAGCGAAAACGAACAGACCTATGGATTGCCGTAACCATAACCATAAGGTGTACCGTAAGAATTAGCCAATAAACAAACATATAGAACTATTGAACCAATTATAAAGCATGCATAAGCTGTAATGTTTAACTATGTACATGTTTAGAATATAACTGTATTTATTTATCATTGAAATTCAAATGATATATTATACGAGGGCAAATCAGTAAGTACCGGTGTTAGTAACGAAGACGCAAGTTTTTCACAAATTTTTTTTTTATTTTTCAACGTAATATGCTTTTAGGAGGATACACATTTCCCAACTCCCTTGCCAATTTTTTAACCTCTTTGAAAAATACGATTTGTCGAACTCTGTAAAATAGGCCTCTGTTTCGGCGATGACCCTTTCATTCGACGTGAATCTCTTTCCACCGAGCCATTTTCTTCAAGTTGAAGATAGGAATAAGTCGTAGGGGGCCAAATCCGGAGAATACGATGGATGCGGCATCAATTCGTAGAGCAACTCCACCAATTTGGCTGTGGCGACTGCAGAAGAATGAGCCGGTGCATTGTCGTGGTGGAACAACACTTTTCTCACATGGGGACGTTTTTTTCTTCAATTCAACATCGAATCGGCCCAATAAATCAGCTTAATATTGCCTCATGGTAGTTTTTCCCTTCTCCAAATAGTCGATGAAGATCACGCGTTGCGCATCCCAGAAAACAGTGGCTATTATCTTTCCGGCCGATGGAACCGTCTTGGCCTTCTTCGGAGCACGTTTGCCGGATGAAGTCTACTGTTTTGACTGTTCCTTAGTCTCCGGTGTGTAGTGATGGATCCATATTTCATCAACTGTTACGACTCGACGCAAAAACTTCTTTGAAGATTGCGCTTAAACAGTTTCAAACATTGCTTCGAAATTGATAGCCGCATCCGCTTGTTGTCCATCGTGAGCAATCGCGGCACCCAGCTTTTTTAGGCCGACAGCTATTTTATTTCCAAGTTACCATGCAAAATATTTAATGCCGTTCCGTACGACACGCCTAAGGTCTTTGCTATTTCACGCACTTTCGTTCGGCAATCAGCGAAAATCATGTCGTGGACTTTTTCAACGATTTCCTCGGTAACCACGTCTGCCGGCGACCTAGGCGCTCCTTATCAAGAACAGACGAACGACCACGTTTGAATTCGTTGAACTAATATCTGACGGTTCATAGATGGTATTATAGATAGTGAAAGGTTTCCATAGATGGCATCCAACTTCGTTTTTATTTTTTCGCAACGTTTTTAATTCCTTGCACGTTTTTCCACCCAAAAATAAAAAGCGAATCACCGATCGATATTGCTCTTTTTCCATTGTATCAAAGAACATCAAACGCGGTCACTACGAACTGCTCTCAAATCAAAATTAGAGCATGAATCACTCTGAAATTTTGTATGGCGTCGTTTGAAAGATGGTAGTACACGATGGTATCGCCAAACTGCATCAGCAATGCGTCTGTCTTCAAAGACGGGTATTTATTGATTTGCCCTTGTAAATACACATACGTTTTAAATTCGATGCATTTTTCATAAACGTATGTATACACAGAGCATGAGCGTGAACATATGACTACGGAGCATGCTCATGTCGCTATATTTTATCGATATAACAGATTTCCTAAAGCGGAGTCTTCAATGAGACTTTAAACTCTAAGCCTTAAGAAATTGACCAATCACAATCGAATGTGAGGAGATTAATCGACTGCGATTGATCAGTTTCTTAAGGTGTAGAACTTAAATTCGTATTGTAGACCACCTGTAGCTTACCCTATAGTCATCAACTTGAACAGTTTAATATCTCGCTGCGCTGGGCAGAGCTTTCTTCTCATCAAACTTTTTTTTACGCAAAAACAAATCAATTGAGTATATTTTTATCAAAGTTAAGGTGAGAGGTTAAAGTAAATATTTACCCAAACATGTGTTTCTTCCAAGCATTATCAGTGAATAGTTAATCGATAATAATTGATGATGATTGATAACGATTCATTGTGATACACGCGTGTATTAATAAAAGTTACAGTATATGATAGAATTTGAGCTAGTAAGTGAAAAAGAGAATCGGAGAGGGAGAGAGAGAGAGAGAGAGACTGAATGCACATTTACATGTGTGTGCATGCACTGTGACTGTTTTCTAAAGTTATTGCCACTTCTGAAAAACTATAATATGCCTAACTTCAATCATTGATTTTCCATGCTGGTAATGAATATTGATACGCAGCTCAAGTGCAACGATCAACTAATTGCAGCAGACTCTCCACGTAAGTGCTCGCGTCTGCGAGTGAGTTAGCACCGTGCCTGCCTACTTCCTATATCTGACTGTGATAACCAAATTATTTCTATTAATAACTTCCGGCAAAGTTTTGCAATATAAAAAGTTGTCTTAGAATTTAGTCAGATTATGTAATTTTAGTTATAAAGGGTTTGAATCACTCTGTTTACACATATATATGTGCGTATTATTTTGTTTATTATATAATATTAAAAACATTTTTTCATTTTCAGCTTATATATAACATTTTAGAATATAGTGGTGTTAATACAAGGCAAAGTAATCTATTTGATCGAGAAGCAGTTGCAAAAATAACTAAAAAATTATTTAAAGGATTAAGTGGAGTGGATAATATATATACACAACATTGTCCTCTGATAAATGAAACGTTAGAGGATTTAATAAAAGGAAGATTAAGTACGCATGCATTTCCATATTTTGGCAATATGATAATGTCACGAAGGTAAATTATTTATATATTAAATAGATTAAATTTACACATGCGCGTGTGCACATACATACACATGCGCACACATAGAAATTTACACGCCCATGCACATCCTTATGTAAAAATGTCTCATATTTTCTCAGAAATTTTCTAAGAATTTTTCATATCCTAGAGTTATGACAAATTCTATAAAAAATGATCGGATGCTTTCAGAAATAAATAGATGAGAATTTTTAAGATATTTTAGTATTTATACATGTAAAAATTTTTTTTAATTGCGCAGGTTTTTTCACATTAATTCAGATTTGTACATATATGTGTTGGCAGAAAAAATCTGAAATATTTTATAATTATTGTAAGTACTTATAATAAATTTTGGAAACAAAATTTGTTATAAGTACTTACAATAATTATAAAAAAATTTTCTAATAAACCTGAGAAAAATTCGTAAATGAAGCATTTAATGACACCAGGGTATAAATATAAATTATGAAACATTTTCCTGCTTTTTCTTCCGAATAAATTTCATTGATGAAAAATAAGAAGAAAATATCAATGAAAAAATGTATGAAATACTTAGATATTGCACATTTTCTTTAAAATATTTTTTAATTACTTGCGATATCCTGGTTTTCTAAGAAATCTTATTTTTTTAATTCTTTTATCTGGTATAACCTTTTATGTCCTAATGTAATTATTTATTCTATAACTGTCTTAATAATGCACATATAGAGTCTCAGATCAACACGAAAAAGCTTATGAGAACATAAAACAACTTAAAAAGAATAAATTAAGGCTCGGCTGTTTCGCCGGAAAAAAATCTTCTTCTTGTTGAATGACACATAAGTGTCTTAACTTCTTGTTGAAACATAAGTCCCTATTAGTCAGGCCAGAAAATGTCAGAATTGACGACTAATAACGGTGTAAATATGAAACTATCGGTATATATATCTCTCTAAGAATAAAACATTTTCAATAATAGCAAAGTGGAACATGACGTTACTCTTAGAGCTATTTATACGGTAATGTACAGATAAAATTTTGGGTTAATGCATAATTATTCGCCGTTTACTTTTTGCGTATTTATTATTTATAAATATTGGAATCTGTTTACTTTTTTAATAAAAACCATTCTTCTATATTTACTTAATAGAAATGCGTGTCGAAAATGATATTTCACCTGCGCCATATTATGCTCTACCACTTCGAAAAAAGATGAACTACAGCACAGTCATTCCGTGATCTCAACGATCTTTTTGGCGAAGGAACAATCAGTGAGAGACAGTGTCAGAAATGGTTTTCTCGTTTCAAATCTGGCGACACAAGCATGGAGGACAAGTCAGGAAGAGGACGGCTATCGGATTTCAACGATCAGGCACTTCTGGCAGCCGTGCTGCAGTCCATCCTTTCTCGAAGTGCATAATATGGCGCAGGTGAATATGATTTTCGACACACATTTCTATTAAGTAAATATAGAAGAATGGTTGTTATTAAAAAGTAAACAAACGCCAATATTCATAAGTAATAAATACGCGAAAAGTAAACGGCGGATAAAATTATTGCAAATACTTAAAACAAATTTTGAAAAAAAAAATTATTTCTAATAAACTTGCAAAAAACTCGTAATTGAAGCATTTAATGACACCAGCGTATAAATATAAATTATGAAAAATTGTCTTGCTTTTTCCTCTGAATAAATTTCATTGATGAAAAAAAAGAAGGAAATATGAATGAAAAAATGTATGAAATACTTAGATATTGTACATTTTCTTCATCATATTTTTTTAATTACTTGCGATATTCTGATTTACTAAGAAATCTTATATGCAATCCAATATATATCACATTTCTTATAGCTCGGTGTAACGTTGCCAGTTGTTTGGTAATTGACGTTGCCGAATGTTAGATACGAGATCGAAGCGTACAATTCTTATGTTTGCGTTCAGCGGTTCAGCTGCATCAGCAATAGACAAGGGTAGATATACGATCCTTCGTTCTTTTTCTTTCCGTTATTATGTTCCGTTAGAAGAGTGCTGACAGGTCAGCACTCAATCGAGCGACTCGAACATCCGAAATCTTTTTAAGATATACTGCACCAATATGCATATGTGTTATGTGTAATATATACCTGTAATAAATGTTTGTGTATAATATGAAAATAAAAATGTAATGTAATAGGACTATTTTTTTAACATGCAACATATACCTGAGCGGTCCGAAAAACGCACAGTATTTTAATTTCTATTCTGATCACATTATTAACTTGGTGAAAATGTCCTTTCGAAGAATACTTTTTCATACTTTTATTAACACATTGTTGACCGGTCATGAGTTAATTCGTGTCTTCCTGCTCAAACGTTGCTGACCGGCCACGAGTAAACTCGTGATCGATGCAAAATACGTTTGCGCGATCGAAACAAGATACATTTGCAAAACCTGTTGTGTACCATTACACGTAGGTGATTGCTACACCGTTTATCATACTAAAAAGAAATATTAAAAGTTAAATGTTAAATAAAATTTATTGAAGTTTATTTATATTGTTTCACTTCCATACCCAATTACGAAATAATAGCCGATGATATGAGATCAATTCTAAGTAAAATTGCCAGTCAACAATGTGTCAAAAAAGTACTAGGAACTTTGGTTTAAAATTGATTTTTAAATAAAAATGTTATGATAATTATTAACAAACAATTTTTTTAATAATACCTGAAATGCATCCTATTTTACAATTTTTAAAAAATTCGTAAAAATTTACTTTCAAATAAAAAAAGTTATGATAATTATTAAAAAACATAATTTTTTTTCAATAATACCTAAAATGCGTCCTATTTTACAATTTCTGAAGATTTGACAAACATTGCTTCATCAATGAAAATGTTATGACGATTTTAGTAACGTGCAAGTTTGCCCAAAAACGTGCGGTCCCAGGCGTATGTCTTACAGATTTCTTAGCGGTCCGCAATGTGTTAATATATTACATAAGCTCATTACAAACAGTTGATATGTAATCACGTGAAAAAAAACAAAAATTACGTAAAAAAAAACGCGTGGACAACATCTCCTGACATGGAAACCTATTATCCTGTTAGTTGAATCGGTATAATATTTGCATAGATATTTTGGGTACCGAATAGAAGTGGAAAGTTATTATTGTTTCATAAAAACAATAATATTGGGTTGGTGCGTATGAAATGTCGGATTTTTAAGTGAATATATAAAACTGCATATATTTTTTCAAAAGTTGTTTATTTAATCAAAATATGCTCCATTTGCTTGAATACACTTTTCCCAACGAGATTTTAACCCTTATCGGTCGTAAGTCACCTCTCACGTGACAACAATACTTCGTCGTTGCGGTCATACGTCACGTAGGAGGTGACAAGTTCGCATATTTATCGAAACCAGCTACAACCTAGTGAGAATCACGCATAAAAAGCTAGCGTCCGATAAGAGTTAATACATAAATGCCTATCTTAAAGAAATTTTAATTTTTGGAATTAATAAATTCTGATATGGAATTTTTCAGACTGTCTTCATTTTTATTGTGTTTAGCCCATAAAACAGTTCTAAATGTTTAAAAAAATGAAAGTCGGTTGGCGAAAGATCTGGTGAATAAACTGAGTGTTGCAAAATTTCATATTTTAACTCATTTAATTTTGCAATCGTTTTGTACGACGTATGCGGGCGTTGTCGTGGAGAAGTATTGGGCGGTACCCACTTATCCATTTTTTTCACCTTGCCAATTTCAGAAAGGTGTCGCAATATTGTTGTATGGTCGACTTTCATTCTGATAGCAAGTTCCTTTGTAGATACAGTTGGATTTGTTTCCACCAATGCTTTCAGAACATCATTATTCACAGACATTTTGGGTCTTCCACGCGGTTCATTTTGTAGGGAAAAATCACCAGACCGAAATTTTTCGAACCAACGCTGTACTTTTCGTTCGTTAATAGTATTCTTCCCAAACGCCTGGTTTATATTGCGTGTAGCTTTTGCAGCATTATTGCTAAGTTTATACTCATATAAAAAAATTACACAAATATCGGTTGAATTCATATCCGTACAAAATTCAAAACAAATAACAAAAAGGCACACTTTTGAAAAAATCTTCTTTGTTAAAATATGGTTCTGACAATGGATAGTATGACTGTAAAAGAGGTTTTGCCAAAAAGCATAACGAAAGCAGGAAGACGAACGTTCACATGTAAAGAAAATCCGACATTTCATATGCACCAACCTAATAATAGTATTACACATTAGCTTTTTGTAATGAGATTAACGTAATTATATTATATTATTACGTACGTATATTAATAAAAATATGAGAAACTATTCTTTAAAAGGACATCTTCATTACGTCAGTAACGTGATCAGAATAAAAATAAAAATATTATATTTTTCGGACCGTTCAAGTGTATGTAGCTTCTTAAAATAATATTCTTATTATATGAAATATTTTTATTTTCATGTTGTACATAAATATTTATTATAAATATCATACGTTACACATAATCACACAACAAATATTATTATTATATATAACACATAAACATAGTGCTGCAGTATATGCAGTATTTTATTACTTTTATTCATAGTGATCATCACAGTCATTTTTCAGCCATCTAAACTGTTACTTGAATATGAATGATAAATGACTCGTTATTTGAGGAATTATTTTATAATACTATGTGACATGTCGACCAAATTTTTAGCACATTTTACAGGTTTCAGAATTACAAAACTACCTCGTTTTTCAGGGAAAACTGAAAAAACAAAGTTAAATAACGCAAGAAACGTTCTGTATGTCATTTTTTGCCTATGCCGTTATAAAACAAATATGATTGCTGGAGAGAACAAAATCTTAACTTTTAGTAACTCTCATCTAAGCACTGTGCTAAAAAAATCATTTACAGCGCTAATATGACATAGAATTTCGCCCTAAAACTTCATGCCTTTCATATAATTTAGGTCTAACTTGAAATTTAAATAAGTACGAGGGCGGCTCAATAAGTACCCGTGTTAGAAATGAAGACATTTTTTTAAAAAAATTTTTTTTTATTTTTTAACGTAGTCCCCTTTTAGAAAGATACACTTCCCC